AAAATGAATTTAATAGACTAATATTGGATAGGAGTTGATTATAAACCGCATTATAAGCTTCAAAGGTCCTTTCACTGCATGTGAACTACATGAGACCATAACTATTTCACATCCAGTGAAAGGACCTTTTTCGTAACCATAAATTATGTATGTTTTGGTAAACGCCAAAAAAATAGAAAAAAAAACAAACAAAAAAACAAAAAAACAACTCATAAATGAAATAGATTAAAATAAATCTAATAGACTAATATTGGATAGGAGTTGATTATAAACCGCATTATAATCTTCAAAGGTCCTTTCGCTGGATGTGAACTACATGAGACGATGACTGAGAGAGTAAGTTTTTTACATCTATATATAAAGAACCTTTTTCATAGTCGAAACGTTATACGTTTTGGTTAATGCAAGAACGAAAAATTATACTGATAAAACAAACTTAATGGAAGAATATAGTTTAGGTTTGTGCTGCCAAAAGTCCACTTGTACTTCCCAATTCACTGGATGAGTGGAGGGTGTGAACAATGGCTTACAAGTAGCTTGCGGGCTAATGCATTTGATGCTCGTAAAAGCCCTTTTTTGTGCGACAAAACTAAAAGAAATAACACCATTGATACCTATTTCACTTGCTTTTTTAGAATTTGGTATTTTTAGTGCTAAAATCCAAAATTGTGGAAAATCMGAATCTGGATTTACTCCTTGGACTGGACTTTTTTTAGGTGGAGTGTCGAATCGGGACAGAATATTCCTTAAGTATTTTAGCATAAAATCAATGCAGAACTTGTAACATCATTTGAAGGATAGCTTTTATGCAGTAATTTTTAGAAATTAATGAAAAACATGGCTTTTATGAGAAGGAAACGTTTAAGGGTACAAAGTGAGAATCTGGGAATTTATTTCACTGAAAATAGCACTGATATCGGTATATTTATTTTTATGAAGATATCGCTGTTGATAATGATGATGATGGTCATTGTGATGATGATGATATTTATGATGATAATGCTGTTTCTGCTTTTTATGATGACGTTGATGATGATGATGATGATGATGACTGATGATGATGGTAATGATGACTGATGATGAGGATGAAGAAGATGATGATGATGATGATTTTGATATCAATGATGATTTTGATATTGATGATGACGGAAGATGATGATGATAATGATGGNGGATGTTGATGATGATGTTGATGATGATGTGATGTGATGATGATTGGTGATGATGACAATGGTGTCGATGATGATTGGTCATGATGATGATGATGATGAATGTGATGATCCTGATGATGAATGATGATGATGAAGAAGATGATGATGATGATGATTTTGATATCAATGATGATTTTGATATTGATGATGACGGAAGATGATGATGATAATGATGATGACCGATGATGATGATGACTGATGATGATGAAGATGATGATGATGATTTTGATATTGATGATGATTTTGATATTAATGATGACGGAAGGTGATGATGATGACGGATGATGATGACGATGACGACGTAATATGATGACGTATTATGATGATGATGATGATGATAATGATGATGATTAAAGTTCCTGAATGATGCAAATCTAAGAAGGCTTAGGGAAAACTTTCGTACGGCCTCTTAATTCATTCAGCTCCCCTGTATTGAAAATTTCATGAAAAGCGCACATTTCACATCTACTGAAATGCGATTGAAAGTTTTATGTTATATCTTAAGTTGTGCTTTTGTTCTTTTTCCATAGAGTCGCGTAATTTATTACTCAGTCCCTTACATCAAAAATCCGTCGTCCTCGACGTAGGTTATCCAGGAAAGATCACATGTTCCTTCCTTGGCAAGCCAATATCAATCACGTGGTTTAAACTAGAAATCGACAGCCTCCCGCCTCACATGATCCCCATGAAGGAATCCCTCATCATGCCCAAGGTGCGCATGTCCGACGAAGGGGTTTATAGATGTGAGGCGTATGATGGTTCATCTATTGCTGAGGCATTTGTAAATATCACCGTTAATGGTAAGTAGTTTTGAAGGCGATTGTGTAACGTCGTGTAACATCGTGTAATATCGCGTAACGCCGCGTAACGTCGTGTAATGTCGTGTAACGCCGTGTCACGTAGTGTAACATCGTGTAATACCGTGTAACGCCTTGTAACGTGTAACTTCGTGTAACAGCGAGTAACGTCGTGTAACGCCATGTAACGCCGTCTAACTTCGTCTTACGTGTAACGTCGTATAACGTGTAACGTTGTGTACCGTGTAACGCCGTGTAATATCCGTAACGCTGCGTAACGTCGTGTAACGCCGTGTAACGTCGTGTAACGTGTAACTTCGTGTAACATCGTTATCGTTATGATAATGGCAATGATAATGATCCGAATTGTCCGAATCAGACTGAAAAATTGACAATTTACCATCTTATGGACATCGTGTTACTCATCTGTTTAGTTTTCATGATAAACTACGGCATATAGTCATATAATCAAGGTGTTTGAGATAAAAGCTGCGATTTTCGGAAGGAAAAATGCTCAACAGGAATCCTTTCCTCGTCCGCCATTTTGTCAGAGCGCCTGCGATAAATTCAGCGGTTAGCCACATTGCGCACTCTCAGTTGATATTTAATTAGCCAATCAGCGGTGTTTTAGCCGTGTCACCTGAGACCGCAAAGGTGAGGGGCGATTGCCATATTGTTATACTGTCTACCCTTGATTCCCGATGAAACTCGTTCCAACATTGTTTCATATTTTTCATATGTCGATTTTTCTTACTAGACAATAGAGAAGAACCGGGCAATTCTGATTGGTCCAAGAAATCAAAAGCCTCATGCATGTTGCCACGTCGTTATGGTTACTGCAACCAACATGAAGTTCGTTGGTATTTTGAAAAGACGTCGAGAACATGTCATCCCTTTGTGTACAGCGGTTGTGGCCAAAATGAAAACAACTTTAAAACAGCAAAGCAATGCCAGGCAGCGTGCGGACAATGGGGTAAGTTAGAACATATTGAAGAAAATAAAAAAACGCTTGCGATTAGCTTATATATTGCGTGTGGTCAAGCATGATATTAAACAATCATCAAGACCAAGGCTGTTTTATATATCTGCATACGGACAAACAGTCTGTGTGCAGTTATGAAGCAAGCAGGAATTGASGTGAGAAAGAAGAGACCAAGAGAAGTGCTGGTGCAAATAAATATTATATTGTTCCTGTTAGATATACAGCCTTGTCTTGATAATTTATGATATCATCTCTGCTTCAAGCAATATATACTTATTTCAATAAAGTTAGTCACCAAAAACCTAGAAAGCTGTGATCGCTGAGAATCATGGGGAAATGTTTTATATCCAACAAGTAAAGCTTTTGACATAAACTGCAGCAGTTGAGGATGCTCAGAGGAGGTTAACTTGTAACTGGTAGAAGATCTAAAGTCCATTAACAGTTATCAAGCGGTTGAAAYATGTAAAGTGTATCTACCCATAATCCTTGTCGGTCTCAGCTTTGTAGCTTTTCAGGTAACTAACTTTATTGAAATAAGTGTATATATWTTTTTAAATAGYTTTTTTATTGTTAATAGCTGGCGACATCTGCAAGCTTCCCAAGTCTACCGGTCCCTGCGAAGCACACATTCCAAGATGGTTCTTCGATCAAAACATTGGTGAATGTAGAAGGTTYATTTATGGTGGTTGCCGTGGAAACGCTAATCGATTTGCTTCCAAAATGTTGTGTGAAGTCAAATGCAAAGGTATGCTACAACCTATTCAATGGCTTCTTCGACAATATACGGCGGTCATTTTACCAGGGGCAAAACCAAACAAAACATTTTTCTATCCTTTGTCTTGGTCGATATGCCTTCTTAATTCAACTCTCGTATTCTCTTGTCCTGAGCTCTTCAAGGCCAATCGACGTCATTACTGAAACAAAGCTTTATTTGCCTCCTGGACGCCCCATGATGCCTTCCGATCCAAGATGACCGCCGTATCGTGGAAGTAGTCCATTGATTATTAGATTATATAGTGAAACGACTTTAGCTGGAAAAGCAGTGTTTGACAGCTAATCACAGCTCGATTATGGGATCAGAAATGGAATCCCGAGTATGCTATAAYGTTAGCAAAACAATGGACAATGAAAATCATATGTTGCTTGAATTGTTTTCGTGCTCCTGTCGAAGTGGTTTTAAAAGTATTAAACGAGGTTTTAAAAGCATTATTAAATGCAAATAGTTAATATCGAACAGTGCCGTAGTAAGAGTCCCTGTGCTGGAGGTGCCAACGCGCGCGTCAGTTTTGGCGCGAAAGTTCCCGCCAAATCCACATGAACCTCATGGGTGTAAGTCGTCAAAAGAGCCATTTAGTGCAACAGGGCTTTTCTGTTCTCCCGACTTTTGATAATTTAAAGCTTCTCAAACAGTTAGATTTTGTTTTACGAATTTTATTGTGAAAACTAAATCATAAACTAGAAACCTGACTTTAAAGTGTATATCGAAGAATTTTTTTTTGAATCATGATCACTTATATGTTAAGTGTAGCTAGTAGTATGGTTGCAGTATTTTTGTATGTCAAATTTTCTTTTCGGAGACATAAACATTTGAAATATCAATATGCAAATGAGATGACATAATTTCAAGACTAATTTGTTATACAAAAATGCTGTTGTGGAAAGTACTGCTGTTTTTTCATTTGCAAATCATCCTTATGACTGAAATATATGGCTTTAGTACACTTTTGGGTTATTGTACTTCAGAACACTTGTCATAAATCACACTGCAAAATGTAACCCATTCTTGAATTTACGTCATCTCATTTGCATATTGATATTTCAAATATTTATATCTGTGAAAAGAGAAGTCCACATACAAAAATACTGCAACCATACTACTACACTGTTCACATATAAGGGATTTTGAAAATATTTTTTCCCTTGATATGCACTTTAAAGTTCACCGTCGCCCTTCACCACAGATATCAAGATCGAATACTTTACAGAACAAACTCAAAGATATGTTGAAATTAATATTCGAGGTGTCCTCATATATGATTTTTTTAAATTCTCAGCACAGAGGGCAGACATGTCCCCTTGTATGAAACTCTACATGGATGCAGTTAACAGCCATAGACAAAGCATCTTCACTCCAAGGTGTACAGGAGATGGACACTTCCAGAAGAAGCAATGTCACGGGTCGTATTGCTTTTGTATGGACGAGAAGGGATCGGAAATGCCTGGAACTAGAACACCTATTGGTCAGAAGATTGATTGTTCAGCTCAAGGTATGAGTGTGTATGATCAAAATGATAAACGGCACTGACTTACAGCGGTAATGGCTTTTCGTTGTTTCTCAATCAAAATTCAATGCGTAGTTATGTACGGCTATACCTTAAGGCTGGTTTAGACGGTACGATTTTCGCCTAAAACTATCGCCATGCAACACGCTCGCGCCATCCTACAACTCGAGTCGTAGCGCATAAATCAAGCCTACAACTCGCCTACGACAGACGCGAGCGTGTTGTATACGATAATCGTAGGCGAAAATCGTACCGTCTTAATCGGCCTTTAGGATGCTAGAGACCTTAAGCACGACGTTATAGCAAGACGTCATAACGAAGTTGCTGCTGGAAGAGCCGCCAAATTGAACTGCATTGATGCAGAGTGTTAAATCTTCGTGATTGCGGGCTTGCTTCTGGGCCTGATGCCTAGTGGTTAGTGGTTAGGGTTATAGGTAAAACTACTGATGCTAAAGGTCTTTAGTAGGGACTTTCATATTTGCAAAATCTACGACGGCGACGTCTACCGCAAGTGTAAATAACTACACTTTGGGGTTTCGCGACTTCGAAGTCTGTCTTCCCTGTGGATGAGTTGACTTTACTGACAATGTTTTGAATGAATTCTCCAATAAACAGAACCCCAAATATARATTCTTTACACTTCCGGTTGACGTCGCCGTCGTAGATTTTGCAAATCTTAAAGTCCCTAACTGTACGGCTCAACTAAGGCTACAAACTTACCGCATCGTTTACATTTCCCATTCCCACGAAAACCGCTCGAATGATTCTATCTGCAGTGCAAAATCCGATACATTAGCATTTGAATTCAACTTTTCTAAATTCTTTTAGGCCCTCGTCTATGCGACGTTGAAAGGAAGAAAAACAAAGACAAACGATTTGATGGTGAACACTTACCTCAATGTAAACAAGACGACACTTACGAGAGTGTACAATGCTCACCGCTGACCGGTCACTGTTGGTGCGTGGATCCCCATGGTAAAGAAATGCCTGGAACAAAAACACGTGCGCCCCTTTTGTGTCCAACAATGAGTAAGTATTATTCGTGGCGTTTTCTTATAGACTATTTCTACATGCGAACATCACTGCTGTCTTCCTTGTTTACAGACTCTTTTTCTTAGGGATAGCCTCATCTTAGCGTCAAAACATTAACAAATACTACCGATACGGTAACAAATGTACAACTTCAACAACACAAACACTTTGAAAGCCCACTTTCTCGTCCAGTTTCACCTCATGCGAGCATCCTCAAGCTGTAGTTTGTATCAAAGCTTCACTTGTTGGAAACGAAATGTTTCCCAAGATCCTCAGCGGTCTCAGCTTTGTAGGTTTTTGATGACCAACTTTTTTGAAATCATTATTTGAAGGCATTCTTTGTCCGCTGGTAAATCTTTCAGTAACACCATTTGTTAACTTTAATACCTACAGTATGGCAACAAACTCTCAATAGCGTGAATACGAACCCTATTTATATTTCTAATTTCTTCAGATGCGCAGATTACAAGATGCCAGCGTCAATACATCGATGCATCTAAGAACTCAGAACTCGGTCGATTGATTCCTCAGTGTGAAGAAGATGGTAGATTCAGAATTGTTCAATGCCAAGGACCTAACTCTACTTGTTCATGTGTAGATCGAGAAACTGGAGAGTTACTGAGCGGCTCTGAAATCACTTTTAACRTGGGAAAACCACAGTGTAAGACGAAAGGTATGGTTATTTTGTTATCATCAATAAGAGGACAGACAGATAAAGCTGACGTCAACGAGCGCGCGCTCTTTCCATTGGTTGTTTTGATCGCTAAAAATGAGAAGTTTTTATCGTTTTTGTTATTGTAAAAAACAAATAGACATCAGTTTTTTATGTGTCTGTCCTCTTATTGGCGATACATTTCGTCATCACATTGTCAAAGTAGTATGCGGAGTGGTATCCACATTACTTTGACAATGTGATGACGCTTTTATCGTCAATAAGAGGACAGACACAAAAACTGATGTCTATTTGTGAATTTGATGACATTTTTGCAAACGCTAATTATCACTCTGATTATCACTATCATAAATGCAAATGAAAGTGGACACCTTTTTGTCACTGAAAAGGAAAAATACTTGATACCATTTCCAGGTAATTTCCAGATCGCTTTCCTTTCTATTTTTTTCGAGCTTAAAATTAAAATCATAGAATAATGTTTTCTTCTCGGTTTGTATTTAAGTTTTTTGAGAATTTACTTACGTCAATCTGGGCTTGAAGGTCGAAAGCCTTTTCAATCTGCAACGATAAATATCAACGTGTCTACTCTTATGACCGGAAATTTTTTAAATATCATTATCCTTTATATTTGCTTACTTAACTGTAATTTTTGAGTATGTGTAAAAAGGAAAAGGGTATTCGCTCTTTCTAAAAAGATATTAAAAAGTTGATTATATTAAATATGAATTTAATCGAAAAAAAAAATTATCAGGATACGATGGGGTTCGAACCCAGTACCCAGTGACAGAAATTCAAAAAAAAAAAAAATCGATTCTAATTTGCCATACCCCCGAGACATCCGCAGAGCTGAGGCGTCGTATGGACTTCGGACCTGACGGCGATTAAATCCTTCTGCCCTTGGGTGTACGAATTACGCAAGAAAATGTTCTAGCCGAAGCATCAGGGGAGAGACCAGCCGGCCCCCAGACCATATCGGCTAATCCCTTGCATCTCTGCCGCGCACGGAATCGGTTGAAAGTATAATGTTAAAAAGTCTAGTCTATTCGGTGAATTCTTTTCACGGCTATTGTTATGCTGATTCAACTGAAACCGTGGTCCAGTGGAAAAAACATGGGCTTCCATATYATTACMAAAAGTCAAGTCCGGCTGGGCAAAGTTAGAACCTGGATGGGTGACCTAAAAACTATGCCTACTAAAAATAACTAAAAATTTCAATAGATTAAAATCCGTTGAG